AGCCGCGAACTCAATCACATGCAACTTGTTGAGCCCCCACAGCACCTGGACGTAGACGACATGGAGGCAGTGGCTCTGGGAGGTTGCCCAACCGTGCCGCCCACGACAACAGATAGGAGAGGCCTATGGATGCGCCCGCAGTTAACGTTCAATGTGATGCTCACCCTGTTGGCGCCCGTGCGTCCATTTCCCCGCACAGCTAACAACCGCAGAACGAGGCTTCCAATCCACAAACGGCACTCTCCCATCACAGGGTTGCTGAAGCCCACCAAGCCACGTACTCTTGACGCGTGAATTGTAGTGCCCTGCGCAAAACACCGCAACGTAGGACGACGACGCAATGCAACGAGCCCTCCGACACGGAGAAAAGCGCCCCGCAGCAGCGCACCCCATCTCCTTCCTCAAGAAGACCGCCACTGCAGGGAAAACAAGCCGTACGTGGGGCATGACTGGCCAAAAAGGCTCTCTCTCCCCACAAAGCTGCAACCACCACGTGCTTGACAGACTCTGATCGCTCAACATCGGCTCGAAGGTCGGTAGCGTGTTTTCCGGAGCAATCTTCGAAACAAAATGCCGAACGTCGTGCAAAACAACCCACTGTATAATAGCGGCTGCAACAGCACAAAGAATAAGAGACCAAAACCTGAGATCGTGGGGCATGCCTGGCCAAAAGGCTCTCTCTTCCCACTTTGCCGCTGCACGCCCACGATGATGCTCACCTGCTCCTGGGACCTGCAATCGATTTTGGTGACGTGGTGGTCAACCTCCTAGTCCGTAGCCTGGAGGTAGAAGAACCGTACAACTTTCAGCGGCGCGACGCCTGGCGCTCCCCCTCAAGTCCGAGGATGGGTCAAAGATACTGCCCGCGTATCTTACCCCACCCGGTGCGGATTGCACGGCCACCTGGTTCGAGCCAGCTCTGGTGAGCCAAACTTGAGCCAAAATGGCTACGGTGGAGGAGGAGGAGGAGGAGGAGGAGGAGGAGGAGGAGGAGGAAGGGGCGGAGGAGGAGAGGAAAAGGAGGAGAGGGAGGAGGAAGAACAGGAGGAGGATGAGGAGGAGAAGGAGGAGGAGGAGGAAGTGGAGGTGGAGAAGGAAGAGGAGGAGAAAAAGGAGGTGGAGGAGGAGGAGGGGCGGGAGGAGGAGGAGGAGGAGGAGGAGGAGGAGACGGAGGAGGAGAGGAGGAGGAGGAGGAGGAGGAGAGGAGGAGGAGGAGGAGCCCCCCCCTCAAGCGCTCGGGCGCACGAGCAGGCGGAGTGCGGCCGAGAGGGGGGGGCAGCGGGGCGCGCTGGGCCTGCGCAGAGCCTGGAACCGCCCTTCAAGCTTGGCCTGGAGGCGACCTCCGCGGGCGCGGGCGGGAAGGCGCCCTCCTCCGCGGCAGGAAAAGGACGAAAGGAGGAGGAGGAGGAGGAAGAAGAAGTAAAGAAGGAGGTGGAGGTGGAGGAGGAGGAGGAGGAAGTTGAGGAGGAGGAAGAGGAGGACGAGCACGAGGAATAGAAGGAGGAGGAGGAGGATGTGCTGGAGAAGGAGGAGGACGAGGAGGAGGAGGAGGAGGAGAAGGAGGAGACGGAGGAGGAGGAGGAGGAGGAGGAGGAGGAGGAGGAGGAGGAGAGACTGGAGGAGGAGGAGCAGGTGGAGGAGGCGGAGGCGGAGGAGGAGGTGGAAGAGGTGGTGGAGGTGGTGGTGGAGGAGGAGGAGGAAGTGGACATGGAGGTCGAAGAGGAGGAGGAGAGGAGGAGGAGGAGGGAGGAGGAGGAGGAAGAGGAGGAGGAGGAGGAGGAAAAAGAGGAAGAGAGGGAGGAAGAACAGGAGGAGGAGGAGGAGGTGGAGGTGGAGGAGAAGAAGGAGGAGGAGGTGGAGGAGGAGGAGCAGGAAGAGGAGGAGGAGGGGGGGAGGAGGAGGAGGAAGAGGAGGAGGAGGAGGCGGAGGAGGAGGAGGGGGAGGATAAGGAGAAGGAAGAGGAGGGAGAGGAGAAGGAGGACGAGGAGGAGGAGAACTGCCAAGGACGCTATAGGCTTCAGGGCGCCTAAGCCCATCTGTAAGGATGGGGCGACCCGCAGGTTTCGGTGATCCACGACCGCTTGGGCGTCTCATACTTACAGTCCTGAATGTGTGTGGTGCGATAGGTACTCGCATGGGAAAAGGCCGGGGTCGCATGCGAACGCGCCCCTCACCATGCGGAACGTGCGTGTTCCACGCTCTGATTGATGAGCCCGCTGGCGTGGTCAGCACGCCGAATTGTCCGGCGGACAATTACGTGCCCGCGCGCGTTCCTCAAATATACTTGTGAGTACGGTGTCCAACGCCCCCTCCTCCTACTTCCTCTCATCCCTTCCAGAGAGAGAGAGGGGAAGAAAAAAAAAAACGCGGTCACTGGGAGGCTGCAGCGGGCTTCTGGGGAAGGCAGAATACCCCCCGTGGGGCCGGTGTGAGAGCAGCATACCCACACGCGTACATGCTACCAAACATCTCTGCGAGGACCTCGGTCGGTATGGGCCACCAGCCCCGCGGAGTGAATCGATCAACAGATTGCGCACACAGCCGCAGGATGGGACGAAACATGCTTTCCACAGACCGCTAACGACCCACTGAGCATTAAGGCGAAACAAAAACCAAAGCGATGACACGCTGGTCAAGGCAAACGGCCGGGCCAACTTTCGAGTTGGGGTGTTGACCTCTCGCAAACCTGTCCCAAGAAAGCTTTGCGCCATTGGAAGGGAAACCGCGTGCTGGCGGGCATTCTTTACCCCAAAAACGCAAAGCGCCAGTTTCAGAGTAGGTGCCACACTTGCCGCATATAAACAGAACACCATGGGAATTGTTTGCCACGTGCAATATGTGCACCCTTGGGTTGGCGACCAGAGCAGAGAGGGCTGCAATGTACCCGCGGCGCGGCGACACGCTGGGCGCGGGCTTACGGTCGCTCGTGGCAAAGCGCAGACAGCGCTGACACGCCCAGCGGGTGCGACGCCAAGCCCACGCATGCCCTTCTGGGTTCGCTGGAGCAGCTGCTGAAGTTGCCGCTTCGGGCGGGGCAGGGGGCGGTGGGAGCGAGGGCGGGGTCGGGGGGCGGTGGGAACGGGAGCGCCTGGCAGGCAGCCCCAATGCCCGTGTAAAATCCTGGTGCCCTTAGCCGCGCGTTAAGTGGCACGCGTGGCTTTGGAGGGGGCGAGCCTCGAGTGTAAAAGGAACGCCCAGAGAGAGAGAGAGAGAGAGAGAAAAAAAAAAAAAAAAAAGAGAGAGAGAGAGAGAGAGACGCGGTCGCTGGGAGGCTGCAGCGGGTCTCCGGAGAGGGCGGAACTTGGGGCTTGGAGGTGTCACGGATTACCCCCCAGGGGCGTTGCAACAAAGCGTGGCCCTTTTTTGCCCCCCACCGTCTCCTCAAGACCGCCCGCGACCCATGAGCAATGTGGCCCCCGCCCCGCAAGCCGTAACCAGCAAGCGAAGGCAAGCACCACCTGGCCCCCCATCGACCCCAGCGTGGGCGATTAGGGTCGCATCCGTGTGACAGTTACAGAAGAAGTGCTAAGCCGGACCAACTTTCGAGTTGGGGTGTTGTCAAGCCGAAAAGTAAGGACCCGACACCCTGAAAGGTAAACCAATGATGCGGGGGTGCCTGACAAAGACCAGCGAAGAAAACGAAAAGCAGAAGACGAACCGATCGTTACCCTGAGGTTGCGATGGTGGTGTGTGGCGCCTTGATGACGCAAGCAACCGACAACCGACAAGGAGGGCGCCTACATAGGCTACAGTGTGCACAGTGGTGTCCACCGTTTGGGGGGGTCCTTCGGGCCAGAGGAACAGCCCGAAAACCCCCCCTGGTTTGTGGCGCCTTGTTGGTGCACCCAGAACAGAAAATGACCGCTCGTGGTGGGAGCTCTGGTGCGGGGGGGGGGTTCTTCGGGCCAAGGGAAGAGCCCGAACAAACCACCTGACTGGCGGTTCCTTGACGACGCTCGTAAGCATCCAACGGCGGGGCCGTCAAAAAGCGTCCCTGGTGGTGTGCGGAGCCTTGATGGCGCAACCCACAGCCAACGGGGGCGCCTGGGCAGGCTACAATGCACATGGTGTTACGTTTTGGGGGTCCTGGGGGCTAAGGGAACAGCCCGGAACACCACCCTGGTCTGTGGCGCCTTGTGGGCGCACCAGGAACACAGAACGTCCGCCCGTGGTAGTGGCTGCATTGAGGGGAGGGCTGAAGACTAAGAGAACAGCCCGAACAACCCCCGTGACCTTGATCATCCGACAGCGGGGCCGTCGTGAGCCACGGTTGCCGAGGTGGTGTGTGGCACCTTGATGGCGCAACCGACAGCCGACAAGGGCGCCTACGTAGGCTACAGTGCGCATGGTGGTGGACACCGGTTTGGGGGTGGTCCTTCGGGCCAAAGGAACAGCCCGAAGACCCCCCCTGGTTTGTGGCGCCTTGTTGGCGCACCCACCAAGGAAAACGACCGTCTTCGGGCCAATGGAGCAGCCCGAGCAAACCCCTTGGTTTGTGGCGCCGTGGTGGCGTACCCAGTACAGAACCGACCGCCCAGGCGACCTCCCAGAGAGGGTACTACGGGCCAACGGTTGTGGCGCCATGTGAGCAAGTTGTCGCCATATTGTATGTGCATGGGGCGGTGGAGCCCCATTGGGGGGTTGTTTGGGTCTTGGGTCAATCCTAATGACCTCCCCTGGCCTGTGTCGCCCCAGTGGCGAAACCCCAGCGAGCTCGAGGGAGGTGCTCATCGGAGACTGTGTGTTCTTGTGTGTGTGTCTCCTTACAGGCCGCCCCGTCCGTCCTCCCAGAAACGACTCAGGAGCGGCCAAGAGGGGTGTGTCCAAGAGGGGGGGGTGCAAATCACGACCGTCGGCATGTGCGCGGCCCAGCGGGGGGGCCAGGGACGTAATGAAATAGGAAGAGGCGCCATGAAATCTGGGGAAATATCATGGCCCACGCCATGATATCCACCCCCCCTAGTCATCACCCCCCTCTTTTCCGCTCCCGAAAACGACTCGGGATGAGAAGCCGGCCCCGGGGAAGGGTCGAGACTTCCAGGGGTCTAGAATCGTGAGAAAAATCATGGCGTCGGGGGCCTGCTGCTCCACCTTCTGGGGGGCAACGATGTACGGGGCCGACTCGAAGGGGGGGATCATCGAGCTGGAATCAGCAGCATTTTTTTTTGTTGCACGTGCTGTCGCCAAGGGGCGAGGGCGCCGAGGCCCTCCTCCAAGTGTCACTGCGCACGCGATCACACAGACGGAGCTGGAATCAGCAGCAAATGCCGATGGATCGGCGACGGGCCCCCGATGGCAAAGCCGTAAGTTCCTGGGCGGGGCGGGCGATCAGGCCTCGATCGGCGCTGAATGGAGGAGGAACGAGAAAGTTAGAAGGAGGAGGAGGAGCAGGAGGAGGGAGAGCTTTGGCGTCATCATCATCATCATCATCATCATCATCATCATCATCATCATCATCATCATCATCATCATCATCATCATCATCGTCATCGTCATCGTCATCGTCATCAGCATCATCATCGTCATCAGCATCAGCATCATCACAATCCGCATCATCATCAGCAGCAGCATCATCATCATCATCAGCAGCATCAGCATCAGCATCAGCATCAGCAGCATCATCGGTATCATCATCATCATCATCATCAGCAGCATCATCATTATCAGCATCCGCATCCGCATCCGCATCAGCATCAGCATCATCATCATCATCATGATCATCATCAACAGCATCAGCATCAACATCAGCATCAGCATCATCATCATCAGCATCAGCATCAGCATCAGCATCATCATCAGCATCAGCATCATCATCATCATCAGCATCATCATCAGAATCAGCATCAGCATCAGCATCAGCATCATCACCAGCATCATCAGTATCAGCATCCGCATCCGCATCCGCATCCGCATCAGCATCAGCATCAGCATTATCATCATCATCATCATCATCATCATCATCATCATCATCATCATCATCATCAACAGCATCAGCATCCGCATCAGCATCAGCATCATCATCATCATCATCATCATCAGCATCATCATCATCAGCATCAGCATCAGCATCAGCATCATCATCAGCATCAGCATCAGCATCATCACCATCACCATCACCATAATCGTCATCATCCGCAGCCAAGTTGGCTCTAGCTAGCTGGGTCAAAAGCTCGCTTGGGTCGGCAGATGGCGCAGGATGGCATGGCCGCCGCATCCGGGTGATGCCTGCGAAGAGCGGGCACCCTGACGAGGCGCCGCGCGTCCTTCGAGGAGCCGAGGGGGCGCGTGCCTCGGCAGACCGCTTGGTGAGGCGCCTGAGCCAGGAGCTGGAGGCTGCCCACACGAAGTGCCCGAGGCTGCGGGCGGTGCTGGACCAGCGGGCTGCATGGGGTGAAGGCGGCGTCGAAGCAGAGGCTGCCCGCCGTGAGGCTCTAGCCAGGCCCTCCATGGTGGCGAGGCTCAGCGGCGCGCCCGAGAGCGGTGGGAAGCGCTTGGTGCGGAACGTCTCGCTGCATGCGAAGCGCTGCGCGCAGGCTGGGGCTCCCTGGTCGGAGTGGAAGGCTGCGCCGCGCGAAGGCCGCCTGTCTCGTGGAGCCGCCGCTGCAGCAGCAATGAAGTGCGATGTCGAGTGCGAGGTCATCATCTGCGAAGCGGAGGCGTCGCTCTTCAGGCACCGGGTCGAGAAGCTGCATGTGGAGCCGCAGGCCGAGGTGCTGCAGCCTGGCGAGTGGCAAGCGTTCGGCGAGAAGCACGTCGTGTGCGGAGCTGGGGCTTTCGTGCATGGCCTCGCGGCGGGGTGGCGCCTTGCCGAGGCGTGCCCGCCCTGCGACGTTGGGGTGCTGATGCGTGAGCTGGGAGTGGCGGCCGGACCCCGCTGCGGCCTTGCGCCAAGCCGTACCCAGCGAGAACGCAGCCGAGGCCTGCCTGCCCGAGGCGGGCGCTGGAGCTGCGGAGGCCCGCGGGGCCGCGGCTGGTAGGGTGCCAGGACTGCTGGAGGCGGTAGCCGAGGCGGCCCAGGAGCCGCCGCTGCTCCTCCCCCCGCCGCCCGGCTGCTCGGAGGCTGCCACGGCCTGCACGGCCGCGCCGACGGCTGCCGCGAGCAGCGCCGTGGTCGCGGAGTACCTGGCGGCCACCCCGCGGCGCGCCTCAGCGGCGGTGACGGGGAGGAGCACTTCGACGAGATCGAGAAGCCCACGTGCGAGGAGCATGACGGGCAGGCAGAGCAGCAGGAGCCCGGGGCCATCGGGCTCGAGCTGGAAGACGGGAAGGACGGCGCGGGGGACGAGCAGTGCGGCGGTGCGCGGGCGTCGTGCAAGAAGCCGCCGAGCATCATCGAGGAGCCCACGCGCGAAGGGCGTGAGGGGCAGGCAGAGCAGCAGGAGCCAGAGAACATCGGGTTCGAGCTGAACGACGAGGAGGAGAACTTCGGCGAGCTGCGGAGCGCCATGGGAGTGCTATCCAAGAACCACGAAGGGGAAAGCTGCGACGGCGAGGAGTCGGTCCTGCCACCGCACGTTGGCGAGGGCGCGTTCTTGCTCGAAGTCGTCGACACGGAAGCGGTGGCGGCAGCTGCCACGCGGCAGCACGACTGCGTCGAGGCGCTGTGGGCCATCGGAATGCAGAGGTGGGAGGCTGACGCGGCTCATCGAGCGCTGATGGCGCGGTCATCCAGCGCTGGCGACGCGTATATCGAGCACCTCATCGGCAAGAAGGCGGATGCAGTTTGGGGTGTGACTGCTCGGAAACCCTGGGGAGAGGGGGCCCAAAGACACTGTGAGTGAGTGAGACAGTTGCGGTGGGCGAGACCGCTTCGGCTCCGACCTTCCTTGGAGAGCGGGAGCACCATAATGACCAGCAGTATCATCATCATCATCATCATCATCATCATCATCATCATCATCATCATCATCATCATCATCATCATCATCATCATCATCATCATCATCATCATCATCATCATCATCATCATCATCATCATCATCATCATCATCATCATCATCATCATCATCATCATCATCATCATCATCATCATCATCATCATCATCATCATCATCAGCATCATCATCATCATCATCATCATCATCATCATCATCATCATCATCATCATCATCATCGTCATCGTCATCATCATCAGCATCATCATCGTCATCATCATATTCATAATCAGAATCACCGTCATCATCATCATCATCATCATCGTCATCATCATCACCATCGTCATCATCTTCAGCATCATCATCACCATCGTCATCAGCATCATCATCAACATCATCATCATAGTCGTCGTCATCATCATCATCGTCATCATCAGCATCGTCGTCATCAGCATCTGCATCATCATCAGCATCTGCATCACCAGCATTATCATCATCATCAGCATCACCATCGTCATCAGCACCAGCATCATGATTATCGTCATATTCAGCATCGACATCATCATCATGAAACATCCGTATCGACATCATCGTCATGAAACATCATGGTCAGCATGCTGATGATCGGATTCATCATGAATAACATAATCATCATCATCGTCACCATCATCATCATCATCATCAGCATCATCATCATATCATCGTCATCATGGTCGTCATCGTCATCATCATCAGCATCATCAACATCATCAGCAGCATCGTCGTCGTCATCGTTACCGTCATCGACATCATCAGCAGCATCAGCACCATCAGCATCAAAACAGCATCATCAGCATCAACATCATCATCAGCATTACCATCGTCGTCATCATCATCAGCATCGGCATCATCACTATCCTTATCGTCATCATCATCACCATCATCAGCAGCAGCATTATCATCCGCATCATCAGCTTGGTCATCAGACTCGCCATCACAAGCAGCATCAGCATTACCACTATCAGCATCGCCATCAGCAGCATTAGAATCATCAGCATCATCGCATCACCGCCACCACCACCACAAGTATCATCATTATCAACAGCCTCATCATTTTCGTTATCAGTATCATCATCATTATCATCATCATCATCGTCATCAGCTGCATCAGCATCGGCATCAGCATCATCATGATCAGCAGCAACATCACACTCCTCATCAATATCATCATCAATATCAATATCAATATCAATATCAATATCAGTATCATCATCATCATCATCATCAGCAGCAGCAGCATCATCATCATCATCCGTATCATCATCAAGATACCATCACGGGCATCCTCTGCATCATCATCATCATCAGCGTCATCAACCTCGTAATTACCATCATGAACACAATCACCACGATTACAAACATAACCCCAACATGATCGCCACCACCACCACCAACACCACCATCATCACCATCACCATCATCATCATCGTCGTCATCGGCATCGGCATCGGTAGCATCAGCAGCAGCAAAAACAGCATCATCGGCATCAGCATGACCACGATCACCGGCACCGTCATCCTCAGCAGCAGCATCAACCTCATCGTCTTCGTCTTCGTCCTCGTCGTCGTCATCGCCGTCGTCGTCACCGTCTGTCATCCCGCCCGCCTGCCATGCCTTCTGGCATTCCCTGTCATGCCTTATAGCATTCTCTCGACGGCCTGTCATGCCTGTCATGCCTTCTAGCACTCCCGCTGGCAAGGCTGTCACCGCCGTCGTCGTCGTCTTCGTCGTCGTCGTTGTCATCCCCCCCTCGGCTGGCAGGGCGGGCGCCCGCCTGTCATGCCCTCCAGCATCCTCTCCACGGCCTGCTCCACCTGGCCGCCGTGCGCCGGGGGCCGGGGGGCCGCGGCCCCACCCCCCCCTCTCGGACGACCGCGGAGGGGACGGAGCGAACGGACGTGTCCCAAGTCGTGGGGGCTGGGGAGGAGGAGGGGGAGGAGGAGGAGGAGGAGGAGGAGGAGGAGGAGGAGGAGGAGGAGGAGGAGGAGGAGGAGGAGGAGGGAGGAGAGGAGGAAGGAAGGAAGAGGAGGAGGAGGAGGAGGAGGAGGAGGAGGAGGAAGGAGGAGGAGGAAGGAAGAGGAGGAGGAGGAAGGAAGAGGAGGAGGAGGAGGAAGGAGGAGGAGGAGGAAGGAGGAGGAGGAGGAGGAAGAGGAGGAGGAGGAGGAGGAAGAGGAGGAGGAGGGGGGGAAGCGAGCTGGGTGCGTTCGCGCCACATCTGACACCCCACACCTCCCTGCCATCCTGTCCCGCGGTGCTGTGTTGCTTCTCTGTGCGGGGGCGCGTGTCACGGCCAGCCTGGAGCTCCAAAAAAGAACCCAGAATGGAATGCGACATCGGAATCGGGGACCTGAAAGCATAGGAAGAGGTGGCGGGCGAGCGGAAGGATGAGCTGGAGGAGAAGGAGGAGAACGATGCACCTGCTTTCAACGAGGGCCAAGATCATCCTCGCGGTGGTGCAGCACTCGGCGAGCAGAAGATCATTCGGCACCTCGCGAGCTAACACACAGGGAAGCTAGTTCACATTGAAAACTCTCCTGCGCAAGCTTCCGATGAAGAATTTCGCGAGATTCTAACTGATGAGGCATGCAGTGGGCTGGCCTAGGGCAACAGACCAACCGCTCGAGCCGCAACAGTTGCGGCCAGGCGTCGACACATGAGCACTGCACGCTTCACTACACTGACTGGACTCTGTTCTGAACGTTACGTGACGCGGTCACATGCACTTGTTTCCAACAAGGTCCAATATCATTCTCGCAGTGGTGCAGCACTCGCCGAGCAGAAGATTATTCAGCACCCCGCGAGCTAACACAAGGGGAAGCTAGCTCACATTGAACACTCTCCTGCCACCAACCGCCGTAAACTGCGACCTGGCGTCGAGGCGGCTCTTACCTCACGAAGCTGCTCTTGACCTGCTGCGATCGATACAAAGCGACCAGAGGGAGAGGAGGCGAGGGGGGTAGGGCTTAGCGACTTGGGTCCACAGTTTGCCTCCTGGGGCTCGTCCCTCAAGGACTTGATGCTATTTGCCCGAGAATACACACGTGGGCCCATGACATTGTGCACAGAGATGCTGCAACGCATCACGCTGCGCATTCCAGCACGCGATGGTTGTCCGCTTGCGCCGAGGTGTGCAAAGTTTGCAAAATATTGTGTGTTATGTGCGCCCGGGACAGAAGCTGTTGCAACTGTGGCTGTCTCCACAGCCAAGATGTTCGAGGGTTCTCAACTGTCACAACAGCTCCACGTCTGATACAAGCACGCACAATACGAGAAGTGGCCTTGAGCAAAGTGCTACCTACTTTCACTTTAGCAGCATCAGAGGGAGGAAAGTGAAAAAGGCCAGAAGGGTACTGAACAGACCGAAGAGGGCCTCCTGGCGACCCCAATTTACCTCGACGAACCCCTGAGAAACTGCTGCATGGCGTGCCAAGGTGCACATGCGAAGCTGCGGGCGCACGACCAAGCACTTCTCGCATCACCTGCTCGCGCGCCAGGTCCTGCGCCGACGAATCTCGCAGCCCCCAGGCTCGCGCGCGCCAACCTCGACGCAGCAAGGCCCTAGTTAGGCCCGTGGCGCCCGCGCACAGCTCCAAGAACAGCGGCTGGCAGCCCCACCTCCTGGCGCCTGCGCGCGAAGCACCCCGACTGCCCCGAGGTCAGCGCGGCCTCCCGTTGCGCCTCGGCCTCCGCCAGCAGCAGCTGCTCGCCGCGGTCGACAGCGGCCAAACGCCGCATCACCCTGGAGCCCCTCTCGTAGCGGCGCACGCTGAGGTCCGACACCCAGCGCCCTCGGCGCTTGATGGTCTGAAGCGTCCTCGTCCTGGTCAGGCAATCGTGCGAGGGCCCCGAGCGGCGCAAGATGTGCGGTGTCAGCTCCCAGCTGGCAAGCCCGACCAGCGCTGCCGCTTCTTTTAACACGGCATTTATGATGGGCCTGTTTTCCACCACCACCACCATACATTTTAGGGGGGAATGAGGAGGAGGAGGAGGAGGAGGAGGAGGAGGAGGAGGAGGAGGAGGCCCCCTTCCCCTCCAACTTATGGTAGTGGTGGTGGAAAACAGGCCCATCAATTTAAGGCCGCGCCCGACCACGGAAAGAGGGGCTGCATCGGCGGAAGACTGGCCGCCAGCTTCTCCGCCGGCGGTCCCAGGTGCGACCTTGCGGGGCTGTCCAGCAGCATCGAGTCGTTGAAGCCGAAGTGGAGGATGAGGAGAAGGAGGAAAATGAAGGGGCCCTGGGACACACAAATAAATACACACAAATAAAATAAACCCCCATATTTTCTTATATTTTCTGGATTTTTGTCTTCCCGCCCAATTCCCATATTTTCCCATATTTTCTGGGGAATCGACGATTAATTGTGTCTGTGTGTTTTTTGTCCCTCCTGAGAAAAGGAGGGGGGGGAGGGGCAAGCTCCGTCGGAAGGTTAGTCGCCCACCCCTCGATGACTATCCCACCCAGGACAAATGCTCGAGCTCGGTAACACTTATCCTTAGTCGGAAGCGCCTCGCCGTGCTCCCAACGCAACCTGGTGGCCTCCTCGACAAAGTACATGCCCGTTTCCCGCATCGCCTGGCACGCGTCGTGCCCCTGTTCCGTGTGCGCCTGATCGTAAGTGGCCGCCTCCCTCGCTTCCGTCCGCCAGACGTTCTTCATTCGAAGCCGCCTAGGTCGGCGGCGGAAATCCGCGATTTCCCACCGAAACGGGACTCGGCGCTAATCTACGACCCCTTGGTCAATGTTTGCGATCGCCTGACATGTGCACCTGGTGGTAAGTCGCCGCCTCTAACACTCCCGTCCGCCGGTTGTTCTCCATGGTTGCGCGCATCAGCACTGGGAGCACGGCCTGCACAAGCTCGAGGGGGAGCGCGCCCCGCGCCGGGTCCACCACGCCGCGCATCTCTGCCACCCGACGGTGTGGTCTGGGCCGTCGAAGTCGCCAACGAGCGCGTGCGCCAGGTCTGAGTTTAGGTCGGGCATGTCCTCTGACAGGCGGATTTTGGAAGAAAATGAAGAATGGTCGAAAATCGTCGAAAATGGTCGAAACATCGTCCCCCGATTATTTTCCTTTACTACTTTTGAAGATTCCCCCTGCAAAGAGGCATGCCCAACGTACAACAGCAGCACAGGCCCATCCACAAGAGACCCTCCACGAGAAACCCAACCCTGGAACCCCAGGGCGCCCAGCGCTTCTTGGCGCTGGAGCTCCACGCTCCCCATGGCGAAACCCTCGAGACCAAAAAGAAACCCAGGGCACCCTCGAGGCAAGCAGGGCGTTCCCTGGCATGGCATCTCCACTGTCCGCCCGCGTCCCCCGCCCGCCCCGCGGGGCGCCGAGGGCGCCGCCCCCGCGGCGCAAACGCCACGCCGCGGCCGCGACTGCTGCCCGCGGCCGCCCACGGAGGCCCTCGCGCGGCCCGCTGCAGGCCCCGAGGGCGCCGCCGCGGCCCTCGCCTGCGCCCGGCGCCGCCTCCGCCGCGGGAGTCATCCAACGGACCGAGCTCGGAGCGAGCTCGTGAGCACACCAGGGCCCGCCTGCGAAGTACCGAAAACGGCAAGTGCGGTCATGAGATCGTCGGAAAGCCCGCCTCTCGGCGCCGAGACGGCCTCACGCCGAGAGGCGGGCGCGGCGACGCGATGGATTTGATGCGCTGGGGGCGCGCTCCCTGGCCCCTCGTCCGCGCTGAGAGTAGAGGAAAGAGAACTGTGCACGTACCACGATTCTGGCCAGGCCCATCCTGAGCCCAGGATGGGTGCATACGCCCTCTTACCTTGGCCAGGAAGGCATATGCACCGATCCTGGGTCAAGGATGGACGTTATCAGGATCGGTGCATGTGCATAGTTCTCTTCGCCCGAGAGAGCACGGGTCATCAGATCCGTCCCCTGAGCCAGCCCCCCGTGCTTCGCGTGCTGGATCGCGTGGGGATTGGGCGCGAGCCTCTCTGGTGTGCAGCTGGAGTTCCGCAGACTTCTGGCAGGGCCCCACGGGTCTCGAGCCTGATGGCAGCCAGTCAACTCATACATGATACTTCGAATTGGCCTTGGGGTACAAGCAGAAGGGCGCGTAGGGGCTCCTGTCACACAAGCATCTGCCACGTCTCAAAGATTGTACAACGTGTCGCCGTCCCGTGACCTGACTCTTGAACGTAGCCATGCAGTGCAGACCGTAGTCACCTAGCACAAGCAGGTGAACAAGGACCCGCATACGATGAGAGGGATGATGGCACTGATGAACTCTACGAACCCCTCGACTGTAGAATATCATTCCGCACCTCCCCTCCGCACCGTCCCCTGGCAAATCTTCAAACTCTTGTGGTGGCTCCATCGGCGGGCCAGTCGGGGAACTTGTCGAGGGTTCAGCCGTGCTCCGAGGTTGTGGGACTGTTTGTCAGCTTCATCGGTTCGAAGCAGCAAGGACGCCTGCCAGCAATATCGTGAGTGAGCAGGTCCCACACCGTGTGGGAGGCGAGAAACTCTGAGCCGCCCTTGAGGTATCGCAAGGCCCGTACATCCTTCTCAGACTGTCGCGTCCAAGGGTTGGCCGCGCTGGAAACTCCGCCGCCTTCTCGAACTGTCAGCTCCGATCCAAGGCAGTCGACAGTGCCGAAAAAAACCGTGATGGTCTGTGCACTGTCCGTGAGGTGCCTAACGAACCTCTGCCATTGACAAAGCCGACGAACGAATTGCTCAACTCTGCTATCATTAATCCGACGCTTGGACATGATAAGCTGTTCCGGGAGAGATCGATACTTGGGCTTGCTTCCAAGGGCGACAGTCGGGTCGAACCCGGGACGACGAGCCAGAGGGGGAGTGAGGGAGGGGGGTGGAAGAGGGAGGAGGAGGGAGGGAGGAAGGAGGAGTGAGAGTAAGGGAGAGAAAAAGGGAGGAAGCAGAAGGAGGGGGAGGAGGAGGAGGAGGAGGAGGAGGAGGAGGAGGAGGAGGAGGAGGACGACGACAACGGCGAAGACGACGAAGAGGACGACAAGAATGTATCAACGATGATGCAACCCATCCGTCCGTTCCCGGCCGGCTACCGTGCCTTCACAGAGGGAGTCGTCCAAGAGGGGGGGTCCCAAATCGTGGCCCGATGAACGTGCGCGACAAAAGGTGACCCCAATGGACATACTGTAATGAGAAGGGGGCCATGAAATATGGGGCGATCGCATGGGCCCCGACATAATATCCTCTAATCATTACTCACCCCCTTGGCCGCCCCAGAATGACGAAGGACTCCTTCTTCTCCTCCTCCGCCTCCTCCTCCTCTTCCTCCTCATGATCATCATCATCATCAGCATCAAAATCAGCATCATCATCATCATCATCATCATCATCATCATCATCATCATCAGCATCATCATCATCATCATCATCATCATCATCATCATCATCATCATCATCATCTTCATCATCATCATCATCAGCAGCAGCAGCAGCAGCATCATCATCATCATCATCATCATCATCATCATCATCATCATCATCATCATCATCATCATCATCATCATCATCATCATCATCATCATCGTCATCGTAGTCATCGTCGTCATCATCATCATCATCAACATCATCAACATCTCATCATCATCACCTCATCATCATCGCCATCATCATCAGCATCATCATCATCAGCATCATCAGCAGCAGCATCGTCAGCATCATCATCTTCACCATGATCATCATCATCACCATCCTCATCAGCAACATCAGCATCAGCATCAGCATCATCATCCTGGTCAAAAACAACAACTTCAAATATCAGCATCAGCATCATCAGCATAACCAGCATCATCATCGTCGTTACCAAAATCAGCAGCATCCTCAGCATCATGAACACCATCATCATCATAATCATTATCATCATCATCATCATCATCATCAGCATCATCATCATCAATATCAACACCAATCCACCAGCATCATAATGATCAACAGCATCAGCATTCACACCATCATAATCATCATCTTCATCATGATCATCAGCATCATCGGCATCAGCAACAACATGATCATCATCCATCAGCCATGTCATCATCAGCAGCAGCAGCATCAGAATCAGCACCAGCGTCAGCATCGTCATCAGCAGCATCAGCACAATCAGCATCATCGTGATCCTGATCAGCATCAGCATCATCAGCATCATCAACAACATCATCCTGATCATCCTCATCATCATCCCAATCAAAATCAGCATCATCATCATCATCATCATCATCATCATCATCATCATGATAATCATGCTCATCATCATCGTCATCATCAACATCATCACACTCATCATCATCATCATCATCATCATCATCATCAACAACATCATCATCATCATCATCATCATCATCATCAGCAGCAGCAGCAGCATCATCATCATCATCATCATCATCATCATCATCAGCATCATCATCACCATCGTCATCATCGTCATCATCAACATCACCATCATCCTGATCCTCATCCTGCTCCTGCTCCTCATCCTCCTCGTCCTCATCCGTGTTTTTTTGCGCATGCGGGGTTCTTCTTTGGCTACAAGGCCACTCGGGTCCTCCTTCGGCCGTGCCTCCGTGAGCACGCGTCCGCAGGCCTGAGTGGGCAGCCAAGCCGAGTCAAAGATGGTCGCTGGCCCTCGTACAAAGCAGGCTGGAAGGACCTTCGCCTCGACCCCCCTGTGTGCGGGTGGCCGAAGACGTGCGTGTGCGACTGGCTTCCATGTTTGGACCCTCAGGGGCCAACCCGTGCACAGCGGGTTGGAGCTGGGCTGCAGGGTGTGGGCCCTGTTGAGGGCTTGGGGTCCCGAGCAGCCGTGGGTGTTCGGTCTGGAGGAGGATGGGCTCCCAGGCGCTGCCGCCTTGGGCGCGTGCCTCTTCGAGCGTGCTGCGGACGCCGAGGATTCTGAGGAGGTCTCTGACTTGGAGGCCTTCGATTCGGGGCCTGACTAGGCCCCCCAAACTGGCTTCAGACTGCTGCCTCATCTCATCTTGTCTCATCTAAACTTCCTCCGGCCCCTGCTTCTGCTTCTGCTCCTGCTCCTCCTCCCCCTCCTCCTCCTCCTCCTCCTCCTCCTCCTCCCCCTCCTCCTCCTCCTCCTCCGTCTCTTTCCCTTCCTCCTCCTCCTCCACGTCCTCCTCCTCCTCGTCCTCCTCCCCTCCACATCCACCTCCTCTCCTCCACCTCCTTTTTCCACTTCCACCTCCCTCCTCCTCCTTCCTCCTCCTCCTCCTCACCTCCTCCTCCTCCTCCCTTTCCTACTCTCCTCCACATCCTCCTGCTATTCCTCCTCCTCTCCTCCCACCTCCTCGTCCTCCTCCTCCTCTCCTCCTCCTCTCCTCCTCCTCCTCCACCCTCCTCCTCCTCCTCCTCCTCCTCCTCCTCCTTCTCCTCCTCCTCCCTTTCCTACTTTTCCTCCATCCTCCTGCTATTCCTCCAAGTCCTCCTCCTCCTTTCCACCTCCTCCTCCTCCTCCTCCTCCTCTCTCCTCTCCTCTCCTCCTCCTCCTCCTCCTCCTCCTCTCCTCCTCCTCCTCCTCCTCTCCTCCTCCTCCTCCTCCTCCTCCTCCTCCTCCTCCTCCTCCTCCTCCTCCTCCTCCTCCTCCTCCCCCTCCTCCTAACAGGACGCACGACCCCCCACCGCCCTGACCGGAGCGCCTGTCGTTCCGTGGAATCCCGCCGCCCGACCTCCGCCATCAGCGTCTGCTCGAGCTGCGGCGACGACCGTGCGCGGCGCCCAGCGCCGCGCAGCGGGAGAGGGCAACGAGGAGGAGGAGGAGGAGGAGGAGGAGGAGGAGGAGGAGGACGCCGACGACGACAAAGAGAAGGAGGAGGAACAGAGGGAGGAGGAGGAGGAGAAGGAGGAAAAGGAGGAGGAGGAGGAGGAAAACAAGGAGGAGGAGGAGGAGGAGGAGGAAGAAGAGGAGGAGGAAGAGGAGGAGGAGGAAGAGGACGTCGCAGGACGTTGCAGGCCTAATCTCCGCAATTACAAGGCACACACCGCGGCGACGATTGAAGCCTCATTCACCCCAGGCCGCCCTTGGAAGATGGAGGTCGGCTTTGGTCTAAATTGAGACACCCCTCGCCTGATGTCTTGGGGGGCCTCCTTCAAAAGGCTCAATTGAAAGATCAACCTCTGCGCTCCGCGCTCCCCCCGCGGCGGCGGCGTTGGCGCTCCGCGCTCTCTGGAGCACTGGCCGCCGCCGCAGGGGCCTCCGGCCCCAGCCCCGGCGGGGGTGGGCGGCACTGGGACTGTGAACCCCGGGGGGGGAGGGGGGAGAGGAGAGGGGAGAAGGGGAGGAGACGAGGAGCCAGGAGGAAGGAGGAAGGGAGGGGCAGAGTCCCCCCGCGGCCTACCCCTCTGCCCCGCGGGGGGGCGCACCCCAAGCCCTGAAAGAAGACCCCGCCTGCGCCAGTCCTTGGGTCGGTCGGAATCCAGAAATGTGGCACGCGCTGGAAGAAAAACGCGGATCCTGACATCACGGCGACGCATTAGCGGGATCACCAATTTGAAAGACCAGGAACGCCCCGACGGAACATAACCATTTTGTACGGAAGCGGAACGATGCCCACTGGACGTGTCTGGGGTAGACAGGAAACCAGTGTCCACATTGAGGGGGGAGGAAAAGGAGGATCAACCATGCCGTTCCATTTTGTTGAAGCCTGTTTCTGTTGAGCGCTCTGCTGTCGTGCGTGCCGCAACGGGACACTCTGGGGCGCGCCGAGGCAAAGCCACCAGCATGTGCACCACCGTGTGAGATGCCAGGGTGAGTTGCAACAGGACGTCCAGGCGTGTTTCAAAGCTGGGTTGCAAAAAATCAGCACCAAAGTTCGTTGAATGTGTGGGTGGTGGCACACTGGAAAAAACACTGGGCGGTGGCTGGACTGTGGACGACAAGAGAGAATCTATGGAGCGCATCCTGCACTCGATTCCTGACCCCCATGCATAGCAGACCCTTCAATCATGCCATTACATGACCTTGGGCCCCACTCCTTTGAACACTCTGCTGCGCCGCGTGCCGAAGCGGGACACTCTGGGGTGCGCCGAAGCAAAACCACAATCATATGCACCACCGAATTTCGCGCGGCTCAAGGGCATCCCCGACCAATGTCTGCTCTCATCCACGGCGCCACCGATACATGTGTGAATCTACACACACGCGGAAATAGCACCGTGTAAGACACGCGAGAACCATTGACGATGAATACGCTGGCGGAAAAAAGGATTGAATCGATACGGATGTGCAGCGGCTCGTTTTTCCATCGAACACCTGCGGGGCCCGCCCCAAGCAATGCGACATGGAACTTGAAAGAGCACCTGCACGGCTGACACCCCGAGATCAGATTATCCAACCCATCCAATCCTGAGGCCCACGCGGGTCGTCGGCTTCTTCTAGCGCGCCCCGAAACCACGCACGCGCGCGACAAGCGACCGCCGTCGGGGCAACGACTGCAAGCTCTGAAACTCCAGCGCGCCAGATCAAGCTTGTCTGGGGGCCTCGACGACCCAGGAGGCCCTGCAGTTGCTAGCGTACTTACACAGGCTGGTGGTCAACATCACGCAGAAAGCGCCCGCGTCCACGTGGACGGACTGCGCTTCCGCGGGCAGACCGGGTAGTCCAGAGATGAATCGACGACCTTGCACCACGCGACGACGCGCGCTGCTGCGCGCCGCGCAAGGGGGCGCCATCAGGGCGCCCGGGCATCGAAGGTGCGGAGTTGATACGTCGCATCCGCCGTTGCACCGCGCGACGTCTGGCAGCGCCCGCGGGCCCCTGGAGGCCGCCGAAGGCGCCCGCCCCCCCCGCGGGCGGCCTTGCCGACGGCCGCGCGGTCGCTGAAAAAAAAAAAACCATCGCGAAGAGGCCCCGCTGCGCGGCGCGCCTCTGGCGGGCAGGAGCTGGCGGCCTACCCGGAGCGCGGTCTCCTCGAGATCTTGGGCGCCCCTTTTGAAGAACGCCCTGGGCCGGTCGCCCAAGTTGTCGAAGACATCCTGGACCAGGGCGCGAATTTCGCGCCTGCGAACCGACGCCGCGGCCCCCGCGCTGCCCCGACGCCGCGCCCCCTCCAACTCTAACCTGCTGTTGAGCCCGCACAGACTGGCGCCTAAAAGACGCCCCGCGTAGAGCACGGGCCGCCCCAGGTGGCCGATGCCCGCCACGGCCGCAGCGGCGAGGAAGCCGGCGCCCAGCTCCTTCGGGGCGAAGTCCCGCGAGGCCCCGCCCCGCGCCCTGCTGGCGGCGAACTGCATCGGCACGTCCGACAGGCCAGGCTGGCCGATGGTCAAGCTCTCATCGGCCGCCCCGACCTTGCTCGGCTGCCCGCGCTCGGCCGGGCGCGGCAGGATTGCCGCCGTGGACGCGCGCCGCTGCGACGTGGCCCGCCGCGCCCGGCCCACTTCCAGGCCGAGGCGATCCCCGCGCCGCACGCGCGCGACCGCCATCGGCTGACAGCACGGCCCACCCCGACGCCGTGGACCCGACGGAAGGCGAGGCCGGTCACCGCCACCACCGCCCACGGCAGCGGTCGCCGCGCCCGCCGAAGCACAAGGCGAAGCCAGCCCCGCAGGGAGCGGGTCGCCCGCGGGAGCGCCCGCCAGCCCTTGGCGTTGTAGACTGGCGCCACACACTGGATCGCCACCACCAACCTCCCCCGGGTCGACGGGGCATTGCCTCCCAGGAAGAGCCGCTCGAAGTAGCAGCCGACCTGCGCGCCCAACTCCGCGGGGCGCGCGCCGAGGTCGACGGCCCTCTGGCGCGTCTGGGAGTCCGCAAGCAGTCTCGCGCACTGCCCGCGCGTCTTCAGCGTCAGAGAAGCCTCCTCGGCGACGCCGGGCCCCCTCGTCGCGCCCCAGAGCTCGCCGCGGGTCGCGGGCCGTCGAGCAGCCCGGCGCCGCTGCAACTCCAGCTCATTCATTCTCGCGCTCGACGCCCTCGGCCTCCAGCTGCTTCAAAATCGGGCGATCCGGAACGGGCTTGTTGGCCTGGCGCAAACGCTCCGCGTTCGGCACCGTCTCCTGCCTCCTGCCCTCCGGTGAAGCATAGATCGTCTGGGGGCATCCGGGAAGCCGCAGCGGCTTCCATGTCGGTGGCCTCGCGCCGGTGGCCGGGCCGTCTCTGCACCTCCACCAGCGGAGCCCGTCGGCGGCCTCAGCATGCGCGATGGGCTATCGGCCGCGCTCAGTTCGGGAGGCAACCATCTGCATGCAAATCTCGATCGAACAGCTAGAGCCCACGATGAATGACGAAAACGACGCGGGCCTCCACGCTGCCCTTTCGACAACGATAAGATAAGCCCGAGGTGGCCCCCAAGTAGAAGCCAAGACTTCCCCCGCCCAGGAGGGCCCTGAACAGCCCGTCGAACGGCACATAGAAAGCCACGCATTTCACCAGCATGCATCGCCTCACGGGCGGAGACGGGGTGGCGGCGCTCAGCGGCCCACCGAGTTGGTGCCTCTGGGAACTCGCAACTTAGCAGGCGCCTCTGGGAACTCGCGGCCAAGGTAAACGTCGGTGCAATCAAGACCCCTGCTTGATTGTGTAGCGGCATCCCCATGTAGAGCATTGCTCTCGGATTTGATCCAGCGGGTTCCTCGGCGCCCTCGCGTCGCCATCTGTCGCGCCACCTACCCGCATCCTGCGCGGCCCCCGCCGCCCGAGCCCTCCTTGCTGTAGCGCGCCCAGACTCGCGCGCAGCATGCGCTAGGACGTCCTCAGCCTGAGGCGACTTGGGGCCCAGGTCACGAAAGGCAGGTAGGATGACGGAGAACCAGCCAAATCCTAATCTTTTTTAAGACTATAGGGCTATGGGGCGATAGGGCTATATGACCATCGGGCTATAGGTCTATGGGGCCACGGCGATTAGGGCGATTAGGCGATTGGGACTACGGCTACAGGGCGATAAGGGCGATTGAGGCAGTAGGGCTATAAGGCCACAGGGCTATCGGGCTATACGGCTATACAGCTGTAGGGCTGTAGGACAATAGGGCTATAGGGCTATGCGGCTATAGGGCAATAGGGGCTATGATGATATAGGGCTATAGGGCAATACGGCTGTAGGGCTATAGGGCCATGGGGCGGTTCGGGATATAGGGCGCTTGGGCTATAGGGCTATAGGGCCACAGGGCTATTAGGGCTATTAGGGCGATGAAGCGATTAAGTATATACGGCTAGATGGCCATAATGATATATAGGGCGACTGGGTTATAAGGCTGCCGGGCAGCCCGAGGCCCCTGGAAGACGCTGTTTCACGGACTCCTGGGCTTTTGAAAATCACCTTTCTCAAATTCATTGCAAGCTCGCAGAGTGCTGAGCAACTCTCCCCCGATGAGAGCCACGAGCGCGAAATCGCCGATCAGCCGCTCAAGCTGCGAGCTCGTCAGAGGCGGCCGGCGGCGATGAATCCACTCGCTAACGCCTGCCAGACCCGCCAGAACCTCTCGACCAAGACTGTCACCCTGCCGGGAAGCCCCGTCTGCTCTACGCCAAGCATCTCCACGCCGCCGGCCGCGTCTCACTCGTCGTGGGCGGCGCAGCCCGCCATCTGCCTGGCGGCGCGGGCGGCGCGCCAGAACTGGGCCACCCCCTGCGGGTCGCAGCCCTCGATGAGCACGTCGCCCACGCGCGCAGCGTGGAGCGGGCCGTCAGCTGGCAGAGGCGGCGACTGGAAATCGACCGCGCGCCGCCCAGGGCCCAGCTCGGGCGCCCCGTCCA